TTTTACGTTTGTAATTACCTACTTTTTTCTTGTGCAAAATGACTTTCATAGAATATATTTTGGAAATATTGTAATACTTGACTTCCAGACCAAAATATTGGCCCTCTTAAATCCCATTGCTAGTTTGTAGGTTACAAGGGTTTAAGTTAAAAAATTATTTGTTTTTATAATCGTAAAATTTCATAAATATTAAATGAATTTATACTTTTAGTTATTTGTACCGTTGATATCTTCTAATGTAATGGAAACTTATATGCCAATATTCCAACGTACCTACAGAGCGGCGCGCAGTGAACTAAAACATGACTAAAACAGTCAATTTTTTATTAGTCCATATATTATACTTTAATTATTGCTTTACCACTTATAAAGTACTTTAGCAAAATTTTGCCGTTCAGACAGCACTGGAGGCCGATAAAATAATGTTTAAAATTCTGTCCCCTATTGTATATCCCCTATGTCCCGTATCGTGTACCATTAAATCCAGAGAATTTATATTTTTTTGTCAAATATCTAATATTATTTTACTGCGTGTCGTAAAAAAGTTAGGTGTTTATTCTTTATTTTAATAATTCTGGACAATGCATGAAGTGTTGTTACAACAAAATAGAAAGGATAGCTTCGATTAAAATATATTATAAATTTTTTGTAATTGTCAATGTTTATTTAAAATAAATAATAAGCTAAGTACCTAAAATGAAAATTCCAATCCATAATTTTATTACTTGGATCTACACATTATTTGTCATAACAACCGTTTCACCATAACCGATGACGAACATAAATTTTCTTTATTTTTTTTTTTAGTAAGCTGTTCAAAAAAATAGCTTTTTTCTACACCCACATGGATATTAGCTTATCTACGCACAGATTACAAAACGAAAAAGTATTGCCTTCAACTGAACGAATATATTTCATATCCATTCTAGGTAGTGAGAACACTCCAAAAAAATGAAATCCACCAATTACCATTCATATTTTGATCAATCGATTGCTATTATTTTTAAAATTTTAAATAAGTGACGATTCTGTCAAACTAATTGTCAGTATATTTTTTAGTTATTGAGAATAAACATACATTAAAATGGGTTATTCTCGTGTAGAATCGATAAATAATAGCATTTTTGTTTTTATTTCGTCTATAATTATAAATAATTTGTTAATTTAAATAAAACTATATGAAGTCAATTTAATTATGAGTATTAAAGCGACAAAAGTAAAAGGCTAGGTGGTCCTATGGTTAGAGTTCTGGCCTTCCACGCGAATGATTGGAGTTTGATTCTCGGATGCGTAAAAATTGAGTGAATTTTTTTTTCGTTTATTTTATTTAAGAAATTATTAAAAATCATAAATTATTTTAAAATTAGTTATTTTGTCTTAATACCATAAAATATTTTTTTTATTTGTAAATTTTCGTTAGTGGGTCTAGAAAAAATATACTGTACAGCTCGACTGGATTGTCCACATCGTACTCAGACGATTGAGCACTCAACCTACGGCGTCGTGCTCAAATTTCGTCTTCATGCGATATGGCCATCAGATCCACTCTTGTTGCACAAACTACTATTTTCTACACCCACATGGATATTAGCTTATTTACGCAAAGATTACAAAAGAAAAAATATGGTATAATGAGCTATTTGTGTAGAATCGATAAACAACAGCATTTTTTTTATTTGGTCCACATTTTAAAAATAAAGTTAAATTTTAATCAAACTATATGAAACTAATTTAATTACGAGTATTTAAACTAAAAATGTAAAAGCGGCCGTGGAGCTGTGGAGAGAGCTTCTGCGTTCCACGCGAAAAATCCGGGATCGATTCCTGGCTAGGGACTAATTAAATTAATCTTTTTTTTTTCATGTTTATTTTATTTTATAAATTATTAAAATTCATAAATTATTTTAGAATTAGTTATTTTGTGTTAATAACCTAAAATATTTTTTAAATTTGTAGATTTTCGTTAGTAGGTCGTAGAAAAAATATATTGTAAAACTCGAGTGGATTGCCCATATCATATTTAGACTTAAACTTCATCTTCGGCCATCATATCCACTCTTATTGCACAAACGTCTATTATCTACCTTCTTACCTTTGTTTCAAGGTATTTGTCGTCTGATGCTTTAGTAAGAAAATTATTAATATTTTCTCTAGAGAAAGTATTACCTTTTTGAAAACCTTTACTCCGTCGCTTTCGTATAAATTTACTATATCTATTTATTCTTTGATGTATATTGATAGTACTTCTAAGCATTGAATAATACATCAAGAATTCATGTTTTGTCAATAGTTCTGTAAAATACACCGACATAACATATTCCGAATACGATTTTATGTTTGTATTTCCTTTGTCCAATTTAACAGAGATTTTTCTGGTAATAAATTCCGTGGCGCAATTCCAGCAGCGGAGTTAAAGGCACATTTCATTTTCTGATTAATTTTTTCTTAATTATTTGTAAAACATTTTAAAAATTATCTTGCAGTCAAAATTTGACGTTTTAATTAGGCATTCCAACGACCTGTCAAACAATACCTTGCATTTTGGACGCTATTTTTTATTCAAAAAATCAGTCGCCAAGTCTGCCATTTTTAAAAAAAAATTACGAGCAGTTTTTTTAAATAATATTTTTATTGTGTTCGACATAAAATATTTAAATGTAACCCAGTATTCATTATTTTACGTATAGTAGGTAGAATACATCGTATGTCGCAACCGTTAGATATACCAAACCTTCCCATTGGCAATTCATTTGTTTGGAATGCCTAAAATTCGACTTTTAGATGGCAGCCGCGGCCTACTAATAAATGGGTAAAAATTGCAATCGTTCTATCAATGCTAAACATGTTGGAAGAGTAATGATAAAAAATAGTGCATAATATACAAGGTGTACCAATAAAAACTCCCAGGCCAGATATCTTGGTAAGTAATAGAGATATTTTAATTCTGTAAAAGCCAGTTCATAGAGCACTAAGAGAGTTTCAATTTTAGATATAAATAAATTTTAAATAGGTCAATATGTAGATGGCGCTGCGTTCAATATATATATTTTTTTTTTCGATGGGAGGATCTTTCTTATATAGTGCATCTTGTAAAAAATGCATTTTTAGGCAGATTTTGTTCTATAAACTAATTCGATAAATCTAGCTATTTTTGATATACAGTGGTTCACTCAAAACAGTTTCATACTGTTTTTCGAAATTAATCATTGGATTTTAAGAAAATGCTAAAACAGGTCGATTTTTATTCCAAATTGAACACATTTTTATTAACACATTTTTCATAACGATACAGATTTTTAATCAATTGAAACCCATAATTTTTCAATCAAGCATGCTGTCCATTTGACGTTTGTCCTAGATTTCTATGTAATTGTTTTAGTTGTCAAAATCAGTATGTATTAAATTTTCGTAGATAGCTAAACTTCGATATTATTTTGCCCCAAAAATCTATGGTAATACCAATGCCCGAGGTAATACCATTAATTACAATTTTGTAGAATTTTTTATAGAAAAACGAGTAATTACTGTTATTGTGTTCAATACAAATATAATATTTATAGTACTTGATTATTTATCGGATGTAGAAAAAATAGCGTATGCAACTTTCATGTAATGGTTATTAATACACTCGCATAAACCGGTTAATGCTCGTGTATTAATAACCATCATTACATGATCTTTGCATAATATACTATTAATGTATGTTTAATCTCAATAACTAAAATATCGCGACGAATTGAGAACCTCCTCCTTTTTTGAAGTCGGTTAAAAAAATATACTGACAGTTAGTTTGACAGAATTTTCACTCATTTAAAATTTTAAAAATAGTAGCAGTCGGTTGATCAAAATATGAACGGTGATTGGTGGATATCATTTTTTTGCAGTGTTCTCACTTTCTAGAATGGATATGAAATATATTCGTTCAGTTGAAGGCAATAGTATACTTTTTCGTTTTGTAATCTGTGCGTAGATAAGCTAATATCCATGTGGGTGTGGAAAAAAATATCTGTGGTTTCACAGTTGACAAAAACTATCCATCTCTATAGTCTGATTTAACTATAATGGAGTGCATAAAATAAACACCATAAGAATTTCATTGGATTTAAAAAAAATTGATATTAAAAGTAGGTTAAACCGAAAATTCTGAAAATCAATAGGGTTTTAAGTTAGAAACAATTATTCAAGAAAATAAAAAGCGCAAATTGATCAGAGAGCTTTCGTTCTAGAGTTAGCATGCCGCCACATATATGCACAGGTGACCAGACAATTTTTTTGCATTTTCGGAAATCGGAAAGTGTAAAAGGGGAGGGTCTCAGTAAAAATCTGTGCCGTTATGAAATTAATTATATTCTATACGATACATATTTTGTGTATTTAATAAGTAGATACATTAAAGGATAAAAGTAGGTAAAGAACGATATAAACTTGTGTGTTATTATGTAACATTATTTGTCAAATACCAAAAAGATATAAATTTACGTAAAACATGCATTATTATACGATTTATTGGAAGGTTTTATTAAAGTTATTCAAAAAAAAATATTTTTCAGATAAGAAATAACTATGAAACATTTTTAGAATATTATTTCAAAATGTATTTTAAAAAACATTGATCCTTGTAGAAATTGTTTTATTTCATTATTTCATCATTTCAAATAAATTTAATAACTGCGTATTTAAATTGTAGATGTAAAACATTTCATAAGCAAATATATTTGAAATTATTTCAAACTTTAAAACTAATTCTCAGAGTAAGCGAAAGAAAATAAACATTTTCAAAGATAAATGATTGTCAAAAAATTATTAATTAACCACAACCAATATTTCATTAATAAAACTGAAAAAATTAAATGTCAGTTATGGAATATTTAAAGATTGCGCGGCGAACGAACAAAGACATTTTCAGATTCTTAAATTAAGACATATAATATAAAACAGGCATTTTTCAAGTAAACGTACACAATTAGCATGACTTTAATTCATCCCAACATCAAACTTACTTGAATAAAGGTGAATACGCGATTCGTTTAGAAACCAGATGCTGCTGTATATGCTCACTGCGAATGTATATGGAGTTCTGGGTTTACTGAAAGCTCCTAAAATCCTAAAAAGCTCCACTGTAAATCCTGAAGGGGTCAAGCATGCGCCATACCAATCGAATACTCTCTTCTATTAAGGTGTGTTCGATTTTAGGCGGAAAACTCACGCTAGAACTGGTGTGGGTACAATAAAATTTTTATTAACTATTTCTACCGGTGTTTTTGTTTATTGTCCATTAAAAACGAATTTAGGAAGTACATCAATAACAGTCTTTAATGGGTTTGCAAACTACTAGGACTCTATCTATATTTCATGTATTTACGTTTAGTATTTTTTAATAAGAAAGCGATTTAGGTACTGAGGAAAATGTAAGTTTTTATCTTAGATTTGGATTTGCAATTATAACAATTACTACCTACACGGAACATTTTATTTACTTGAATTTATACAGGATGTTTTATAGTTAAATGGAAACGTTTTAATATTGGATAAAGATCATCGAGGTAGTTCTAAATATATAACATTTAATAAGCCTTACAATTTTTATTATTGAGATACAGGGTGTTTTACCGATTTTGCTTATTTCTTTCGATCATAACTAACGAACGTTCTAGTATATTTTTATGATATATGGTTTCCTTACAGTGACTAAATGTAAATGTAATGTAAATAAAGTGTCCACATCAGGCTAAAAGCTTCCTGGATTTGTTGAATCTTGGGAAGCGAGCCGTGTTAATTTATAACAGGTGTGTATGTACTACACACGTTTGGAAAAAGTATACGAGCCATACGGTGTAGGTACACCGTATTATTTACAGGCCGATAACCGTAATACGTCGCAGAGCACCGAGAATTGAGATAAACATAACTACTCGTAACTGGTCATAATAAGTACCCAAAAAGCATTGAATTGCTGGGATATTAATGGCATTTTGCTGCAATTGAAGGAAAAATGAATGCGACGATTAAAAAATAAAATCCCACTTTGGCATTTCGATAGTGGCCAAGCGTTATATTGGTTGATGATGGCTTATGAAGCATGGTAAAGTTTAAATTGCATTTAACTGCCACAGACCCAACCCCAACAGTCCAGGAGATATCCGTTCCAACGAGTGGAAATGTACCCCAGTATATCTAACAATCAGTATTGGCACTCTGAGGCGGCACGTTTGATCTTTAAAAGTAGATATTTTAGTTGACACTTGACGTTTTCAGGATATGAAAAGTTTTCTTCACACGGACTTGGTATACCTGGTTAGTTGAATTTTTGTTCTGCTGCTTTTCAAATTCGTGTGTATGAGTGAGATGTGAGATACCTTTATAGGCAACGGTTGAACAACTTAATTACTTTGAAGAAGAAAATTGATTAGATATCAGGGCAGTCTTCGCAAATGTAAGAAGGACAGAACTGTTTTAATTTTTTTTATATATGTGATACATTACTTTTTAGTGAAAAGTTTAATTTCTTTTAGTTCAAAATATAACGTTAGTTTGTCAAGCGAAATATATTAAACACAAGGTTAGGTTAGTAACAAAATAGAGGTTTTGCTTTATTTCTTAAGAATTACTCTAAAAACTTTTCTAGTATACCTCTTGTAGAAATTTATTGTATACATTATTTAGGTACTGCAAAATCTATAGAAAAGTATGTAGTTTTAAATAAAAAAATTTATAACGGAGACATATTTGGTGTAGTTTTTTTTACAAATAGATACTCAGTGACTTGTTTTTGAGAATGAGTTCAAGTATGGCAGACGAAAATGGTTACTTTTTATTATGAATTAATTTGAATTTAGTTAAAAATGTGAATTATATATATATATATATATATATATATATATATGGACTTAGCTAAGAAACTCATTGGTAACAGCCATCATCTTGTTAAAAGGAGACATACCTACTACTTGGATCTAAACTAAATAATTTTTTGTTACTTGGGATTTTTAGATTAATCTTTGCCACATTAAAATTTATATAGTCAATCAATTATTTAAAATAGAGTACAAAATATATTAAAACCTGTTGCTTTCTTCTTTGTAAAAGAGATTTAATCTTAAAACTATCAAGCAAAGTTTCATATGAGATCTTATAAGGGTACGAGTAATTTTTATGACAAAGTTACTGTAAAAATATTTTTTGTACTTTTTCAATGTGTGTAGCTTCCAAGGGCATCCATATTTGTGAAACATACTCAAGATGGGGTCTTACTAAGGCATTATATAATCTGATTTTGGTGGTAATCCTAAATTTTTTTGTATTTCTGATTTAAAAACCCAAAGCTTTTATTGCTTTTTTTAGTTATGTGTAAAAAATGGTTATTGAACTTCAAATTAGACTGAAAGACAACTCCCAAACTCTTTAACTCATATTCACGATTTAATGTGACATCACAGGTCTTGTGTCTAATGTAAAAAATTAAGAGGCTACGGATCCTTACAACTTAAAATATGCATATGTTTGTAAGTGTTAAATAGACGGATAAAAAGTGTTGATTTTTATTTACAACTATAATAAGAACCTATTAAAAAGATTAAGAGCAATGGAACATTTCAACAAATTTCTGTAGGCACACATATACCTGATAATCAATAAACAATATATTTTTTGTAGTAGCAACAGGTTTATTAATACACAACTATTATTTTGTTACAAATACTTATATTATAATATTTATAATTAACATAATAGTTGATAAAAGTCCTTTAAAAATATTATATTTTGATTTAATTGTTGAATTTATATATGAGCAATTTTCCTTGTAGCGTTGTTTACATTTTGCAGAGAAATATTGTATTCTGCTTTTAGCTGACAAATCATGTACATGTAAATGGGTTGAATGTAGACAATGTTAACTTTTTTTGCTACTACTGCTGGCTAGGAATGCTGGGCTGAGACACCAACAAAAAAAAACAAGGGAGCTCAAAGCACTAGATAGGTTTTTATCACTTATACACTTACAATTTACATCCATTCAAGTAACTAGCATGTTGGAAATTCTTCACGAAAACATTAAACATAAATCAGCCGAATGCAATGTAGTTTCTTATTAATAACACACCTTTTTAGCTTGATTACTTCTAGTACTCTATTTATTCCAATGTCCTTAAATAAACCGAGCAATGATACGTAACAATAAGGATAAAGCATTTGGGGTATTTTTGATCTAAATCCACTATCAAAATAACAAATTTTCCATTTTTAAGCTGTGAATGTATTACAAAAACTATTTCAATAAAATGTAAACAAAAGTTTGTATTTGTGTACGAAATATGGGTTGCCTGCGCATGATAGATTATATCCCGAAAACGTCAGCTCAGTAAAAGCTGCGCGTCTTTTTCCCGCCTAGGGAGTGTCATAGGCCTGCATGTACTATGAGGCCAGTGTCGGTGTAATTTATTACTTTTACATGCTGTATATAATTTATAATATTTTATGAACATATTTTTTAGAATACATTTTTCTCTATTATTATAATATATATGTAGCTGACTTAAATAAAATGTTTACAATATTCTATATTGGAATGTTTTAGTATAGAATTTATAGTTTAAAGGCTACAACTGGTCAAAGAGGCACTATTGAATCGCCTTTAGTCATGTACCTGACACATGGCTTTTATTTAGCAGTCAGTATTAATATGGTAAAATACCTGCAATTTAATATGCCGGCCTTTCAATTATTAAAGTTAAATGGCCATCATTAACAATTGGAGGGTAACAGTTATTGGGCCTTTTATTCCCCTATACAAAATGTTTGTTGGGTATAGTATAATTTTGTTATATTGTATTTTTTTAATTTATGTAGAACTTTTGCGAAATTATGACAAATCGGCAGAATCAAAATATGTTTTAATTAAATACATTTTATTTACCGACAAGTTAACTTCTTTGTTTCACAAGAAACAATCCATCCGTAGTAAGACATTGTTCTCAGGAAAATAAAAATTTAAGTGTTCCGACATACACACAGTAGTATGTTCAAAAATTAAATATTTGCATTAATATTTTAAGGGACCACATTATTGGCCATTTATTGATGGTAAACTTAACGGTCAAAAATATTAAGATTTAATTCAAAATCAAGTTATTATTTTTCACTTGCAAATAATTCTTTATTTTAGAATCAGGGAACTTATTTAATTCTAGAGAACAATACCACTCAATAGTTCATGTATTACTAAATTGGAACTTTCTTTGAGTTCGCAGGTAGCAGGAGAGCTGGAAGACAAAGTACTCGTATATAAAGATAGATGTTCACTTACAGTGCTATAGCTTGTAAAATTTTTTCCTATAATTTATTTTTCTTAAAAATTAGGTTATTTATTTCTATAATAGTATATTATGCAACGATCATGTAATGATGGTTATTAATACACGAGCATTAACCGGGATACGAAACGAGCCAAAGGCGAGTTTCGTATGGTTTATGCGAGTGTTTTAATAACCATTACATGAGAGTTGCATACGCTATTTTTTCTACACCCGATAAATAATCAAGACCTATAAATATTATATTTATATTGGTATTGAACACAATTACAGTAATTACTCGTATTTCTATAAAAAATTCTACAAAATTGTAATTAATGGTATTACTTCAGGTATTGGTATTTCCCTAGATTTTTGCGGTAAAATATTTTGTACTGTATTTTCTGCTTTCTCCGATATGTGTGGAGGAGTCTTCTATATCGCTAATATCAGACATTTTAATATTATAATTATCGAAGTTTAGCTACCTACGAAAATTTAATACGTTTTGACAACTAAAATAATTACATAGGAACCTAGGACAAACGTCAAACAGCATGCTTGATTGAAAAATTGTAGGTTTCTATTGATTAAAAATCTGTATCGTAATGAAAAATCTGTATCATAATGGGTATCATTATGAAACGGATTATGGGCATATAAGTGCATTATTATAATACGGGTGTTGAAAAAATCCTTAATGCGACTTTATTTACATTTACTAGAATAGTCGTGTATTTATTTTTCTTTATCTTGGATATAGTATAGCCAGAAGAAGTATCCAGG